CCTGGGCTCAAAGGAGAGGCTGAGTTCTGTGAGATATGCTCCACTTACTTCTGGAGATGTCTTCATAACACTGAGGTGTCTCACCTTGACCGCTGTTAGTATCTTCTGGGCTCTTTTTTCTCTGCAGATGTAGTCCTGCCTCCACTCCACCTGGGCTCTGCCTTCCCTCTTTCTAGGTGTGCATGAGCAGGCTCCCAAACTTGACAGTTCCATCATTCTCCTCCCAGTGTTGATGGGGTGAATGTGGGCTCAGACCTTGTTTGTTCTCCCAATTTGTTTTCTTTTCTTAGTCAGGAGTCTCACTTTGAAACCTGAGTTGTGACTGAACTGCATTCAGTGCTGACCTGGGTTACATCCCTCATAGCTAGGTCCTTACTCACTTGGGACCCCTGAGCTGCATTCACTGAAGATGGTTCTGAAATCTCCAAGGACTCTTTACTGGCTGCCGAAGTCTCTGGAGCTCTACTCTTCTGACTGGGTCCTCTCCTCATTCAGGATCATCATCTTTGTTTTTTTCCTTGATATTTTAAATAAATTTTAACAGAAAACTTGGATTTCCATTCATGCATTGTTGCACATTTTCTTCCCTACCCCCTCCCCAGTTTGCTTTTTTCTTTAAAAAGATTCTTTCATTGTTGCATAATTTCCTCCTTCCCCCTGACCCCTAGTCCACTTTGCTATGCAGCTCTTATTCTGGACTATTGTCATGCAAATAATACCTAATCATATATTTCTTTTAGACAGTTCTTTCCATCATCTATTTCAATAGTATTCATTATTTATTCCCTCTTTTCTTAGTTTCTCCCCAACCCCCATGTTAGTCCCCTTTTATAACAGTGACATTATGCAGTATTTGTCCTTTCATGACTGAGATAGTTCACTCAGTATAATGTCCTCCAGGGTCATCCATTTTGTATAATATTTTATGAGTTCCTTATTTATCAATGCAGTGTAGTATTCCATTGGGTGAATATACCACAGGTTCTCTTTCCACTCATTTGTTGATTGGCACTTGGGTTGCTTCCATCTCTTTGTTATTGTGAACAATGCAGCAATAAACATGGGTGTGCATCTATTTGTTAGTGTGGCTGTTTTGGTTTCTTTAGTGTGTATTCCCAGTAGTGCAATTGCTGGGTCAAATGGTATTTCTACCACCAACTTTTTGACAAAGTGCCATACAGCCTTCCAGAGTAGTTGCAAAATTATACCCTCTTACTAACAGTGAATAAGGGTTCCAATTTCTCCACAACTTCATAAGCATTTATTGCTTACTACTCTGTTGAACTTTCCTTTGATGCCTTTCAGAGACTGAGACTCCTACACCTACAGACTCGAGGTGTCAGAACAAGACTGCTATATCCTGAGATGCTGGTTTCCTTAGATTTTTTTTTTACATGGAAATCTCTATGCTGGCTCCTATATCTTTAGTTAAAGACCTGAGCTGTTTTGCTATTGGAAAATTGGCAAAGTTGGGAGATGGGGAAGCTGCAACACAACAAAGGAGGCCCAAGACAGATGTTAGGCTGTTAGAGAAAATAAATGCCAAAACCATGCTAACCTATTCCTTCTTTTCATCATCGACACTTAGAATCTCATGTTTTATCAGATTTTCTGTCTGTAGAAGGAGTCTGTGGTAGACTAGTGAATATGGAGTTGCACTGCAAACCCAAAGGCATGCAGTTCAAATCCACCAGTTGCTCCCTGGGAGAAAGATGGGCAATAGTCTCCCATATGATGAACAGCTTTTGAAAACCAACTGGGTGTGAGTCATTTCCACTAGGAGGCAATGAATTATTTTCCTATCTATAGGAGGGGCCTCTCCAAAATAATTTCATGAGTTCCTTGTATTTTCAGGTCACCTGGAATTACATATATGTTATTGTTCTGAACCGTCGAGTTGGAATCGACTCATAGTTGACCCTCCAGCACGTTTTCAGAGGCAGTATAATCGCACGGGAGGAGACTGCCCGTCATTCTCTTGTGGAGCAGCCGGTGGGCACCTTTGGGCTGGCAATGCAACTCCTTACCATTAAGCCCTCTGGAGCTGTCTTTACATGGACCTTGTTAATAGGTGCCACAGAATCAAGTATGACTTACAACAACCCCTGAACGGATCTGGAATCGTGTTCTATCCTGCACCGTCCTCAGGATTTCTGACATAGTTGAGCCCTCTGTTAGTCACTGTGTCAAGTCATCTTGTTGAGAGTCTCCCTCTCTTTAGCTGATCCTCCACCTTTCCAGGCATGCTGTCCTTTTCTAAGGACTGGCTCAAGTCTTATCTCTTTCTTATTTGTATTGCTATTGTTAGATGTAGTTCAATCAATTTCTACTTAGAGGGCTCCTTATGACATAGCAGGACTGTCCATAGCCTGTAATCTTTTGGGGAACAGATCACTAGGTTTTTCTCCCGGGGAGTTGCAAGGTGGGGTTGAACTGCCAGCTTTTCAGTTAGCAGCTGAGCTTGGAGCCATGGTCGTACCAGGCTTCTCTTCTCATTATTCATTGTGACAGGGCTGGCACAACATGTGCATACCTGGAAAGCATCAGATGAAAGAATATTGGATCTTTAAGAATGACAGGTACTGTTATGATTTTCACGCTACCCAAGGCCAACCTCTAGAGAATCTTCCTCCTCCCTGTTTTCTATAGGATGTATTAGAGAAAAAAAAGTGTTTCATAGCTGACCTTCCAGTGGGTATTCAGAGGCTGTAATTGTACGGGAGGAAACTGTCCATATTACACCCTGAGAGCAGCTGGTAAACACTTGTTAGGTGCTGTTAAGTCTAGTACAACTCATAGCAAGCCCTATGAACAGATCATCCACATAATTTCTGAAATACTTGAACCCACTGCTGCAGTTACTGTCTGTCAACCTGGTTGAGGGCCTTCTTCTCTTTTATCGACCTTTCCAAGCATGTGTCTTTCAAAGGAATAGCCTCTCTTAACAACATGCCCAAAGTAGGTAAGACCTTTCTTCTCCATCCTTGCCTCTACGGAGTACTTGTTGTTATGTGTTCTCAAGTCGCCTGCAACTCATAGCCACCCTATGTACAACAGCTCTGAACCCTGCCCGGTCCTGATCTAATTTCACTGTCTCCAACACACCAACCCCCAATACCCCAGTTACTATGTCAATCCATTTCCTCCAGGATCTTCCTCTCTTATGTTGTACATCCATCCTTCCAAGCATGATGTTCCTCTCTAAGGACTTGTCCCTCCTGAACACGTGACCAAAGTATGTGAGACAGGGATTCAAAATTCTTGCCTCCAAGGACAGACTTGGTTTCACCCTCTCCAGTACAGACCTAACTGTTCTCTTAGCAGCTCATGGTATGTTCAATACCCTTCTCCAGCATCACCACTCAAAGGCATCAACTCTCCTTCTATCACCCCTAGTCATTTCCCAGCTCTCTGATGCATAGCAAGTAATTGCAAAGACCATGGCCTGAATCAGGCACACCTTAGCCTCCAGACTGACATCACTGCTCTTTAGCACTCTGCAAAGAGTAAGAGCACTGAGGATAACCTAATCTGAATATCCTTTGATTGTGGTGAGCTCTGGCAACACAGTTCATAGGGAGCTGTGTTGCTAACCAAAGGTTCAAATCCACCAGTAGCTCATTGTGGGGAAGATGGACAATATCCTCCCGTGGGATTTATAGCCTCAGAAAACCTGCTCTGAAGTCAGCTAAGAGGCAGTTCCAGACTCCTTGGCGATGAGGATGTGTGAAGGGGATAAGCCCTGTCTCCCATAGCCCTAGGCAAAGTGTAAACTAGCAGGTCTTTCTCAAGTGTTCATGTATCCAAGTGCACTGAAAAAAGGAGCAAAGGCCAACTTTCCAGGCTTTTTCCTAAACTTTTCCTCTGGTAACCCTTCAGAGCTGCTATCTAGTTTTAGCTCAGTCTCCAGAAGCCAAGACACATCATGGGAGTGTGTTGCCCTGCTCAGCCCTCCTGCACATTTATCTTGCACTCCCCACTCCACCCTAGTACCACTTTTCTTACTTACTTTTACTTGCTATTAAAGGAGCTCTGGTAGCTTAAGTCACACTGACAACTGTAAGGCACACAGTTCAAATTCACTAGCTGCTATAAGGTACAAAGCAAGGCATACTCCTCCTGTGTGAAAACCCACTGAAGGGTCAGCTCTCGTTGGTTTTGTCTCAATAGCACACAATAGGCAAGAACATTTTGTCTTAACGATTACCACTTGTTTTCCTTACCTGACTGTTGCTCCAAAACTCTAAAAATACAATAGTTAAAGAATGTGCCTCTCTTGAAAAACATTTTCAAAATGCTGGAAGCCCACCTTTACTCTACCTTTAAAGTCTAAGGAGTGAAGAAAACTTATAATTAATGACGGTTTCATTTCCACCTTCAGGAATAAGCTAAGCAAAATCAGGTATATACCTTTCAATTAAAATACAAAAGAAAATTAATTAAAACTCAAGCAACCCAATATGTCACAAAAATTAGTAACAGTTTCCCCTCCCTTTTTCACTGAAACCATTCAATGATAAGGCTCATTCATATTTGCAAGAAAAAACCTTATTTTAACGCAAGTTTTTTTCTCTGTACCTCAAAAGGGATTCTCATGTGTTCTGTTTTTAAACATATCAAAACTCTTACATCAATATATGGAAACAGCAAAAACCAAGTGATCCATAACATTCATAAACTTGGATTACGAATTTAGAAATTTTCTACTACAAGAAACAACATTTTTAAAGATACTGCACCCCAAAGAGATAAATCACCAATGTAGTCATGTAAATGAGCGACCAAGAGAAGATATAAGCTGTATTTCCTCCAACCTCAAGTCTCTACCACTGTTTAAAACATTCAACACTCTTTCAAACACAAAATGAAGCATCTATATCACATTTCACTAAGGATAGAAAGACTTTTTGGGTTCCAACCTAAAATGAACAACAGTCCTTGCATTATATACTCTTGTTATTTCATCTTCCTCATCTTACCAACTTATCTTCATACAAGACTCAAAAAGCATTGAAGTTGGCCAAAAACTCCAGGATCTTGGTCTTGTTGTCGTGGGCCCCGGGTCCCAACAGGAACTCGAAGCGTGGAGGATCACTGCCGGGCACCTGCTGATATTCCAGGTACTTTTCTTGCACTAGAGCTTCAGTGATGAGCTTCCTGGGATCCCCAAAGATGAAGTGCATCTCCCCATCATAGATCTCTAGCTTCTTTAGAAACTTCCAGACCTCCTCCTCGCTAACTCTGTTGCCTCTCATGTAGATCATGCACAGGAGGGGCATCAGCATCCCGTTCTTGGGAAACAGGCTATCATTCAGATTCTCCTCCCTGCTGAGCTGCAACTTGCTAACAATCACGTAGACTTGAGCTTTGGAGTCCGCTTCTTTCAGATCAAGGCCAAAGACCAGCTCCATGTGCTCAGTGACTCTCTGTAATATCTCTGAGAAGTGCTTCTTGTACTTTTTGCTGATGATCTTTATCATCTCTGCCTTGGAAACGGGCTCTTTCTTTTTGTACTTTTCCAGCAGGAACTGCAGCAGCATGTTTACTCTTCTGGTTAGAGGATCTATCTGGGAGCTCTGGACACCAGCTGCAGAGGAACTTGCACTTGCTTCATCTTGGCTCTGGGCACCCTCAACAGCTCTGGTGCAGGAAGCTCCTGCAGCACCAGCGGTGCTGGCTGGTGCTCTCTGAGGCTCCTGGGGAGAACCCTCCCCAGGAGGCAAGGAGGAGGGAGTTGACGCTTTCTCCTCCGCTGCAGTGGCCTGAGCATCCTCTCGGGCCTGGCGATGTTTCTCACGGAAACGGAGTTTACTCTTCTTTTTGTGAGGCATGTTGACGTTGGTTGAAGGCAGCAGGCAGGAATGTGCAAAGAAGACTGTTGATGTGGGTGTGCGCCCCTTGAGCACTGAGATGCCACCTTTCTTGGCTTCAACAAATGGCGGCCTAGGCAGGACTCTTGCAGGGAACTGAGCTAGGAAATCTGAAGGTTTCTGATCTCCTGGTCAGCCTGCCCTGAAAATCCTGTGGAGGAAATGAAGATAAGACTTAGGTATTAGCTGCCAGCTCTGCCTTGAGCTGAGAAGGCTGATAGCAGGGGCTGAAAGTGACAACTCTCTCTCTGTATTGAGATAGTGGGAGTCTCTTCTCAGTTAAGTTTCAGGGCTATCACATGAGTGGTTGGCAGGGCTTGGGTGCCTCCTCTCAGTTACTCAGAACTTTGTGCCTCAAAGGCCCCTGGAACTCTCTCTCTCTCTCTCTCTCTCTCTCTCTCACACACACTCACACACACACACACACACACACACACACACACACACACACACACAGGAACTGGGTTCCCTGGAGGTCTCAGTCCCTCCCCAGGGTCTTCACTGTGACTCCTGACATAACGTGTGGAAGTCCAGCCTGTCTTGAACAAGTCCTAACTGCTCATACTCGTAGTCATAGCTCTGACGGCCTAGTGGCAAGGCGTTGAACTTCCAACCCAGAGGCATGTGGCTCGAATACAGGTTTTACAGCCTCTGAAAACCCACTGAGGGGTCAGCTGCAAGTCGGTTCCCACTCAATGGCACATAAAACAGCAGCAAGAGCTCATCTAAAGGGAGTTCTGGTGGCCTAATGGGTAAGGGGTTGAGCTGCTAACCCAAAGGCAAGTGGTTTGAATCCACCAGCTGCTCTGTGGGAGATACCTGGACAATCTCTTCTCACAGGATTTACAGCCTCTAAAAACGCACTGGAGGCTCAGCTATGAGTTGGTTCTGACTCAGTAGTAACGAGTTGTTTGCTATTTATTGCTCATACTAAGGCATTCAATTCCCCAAAGACTCCTTAGGAGGAAAATCTGGTTACAACCAAAAAAGCCAAAGCAGACGGCAAGCAAACTAAACCCAGGGACGTGGAGTCATTCCACCTCACCCCCTATGAGACTGTAAAGTGGAAGAAGACTACCCATCTTTCTCCTGAGGGGCCGCTGGACCTTGCGGTTCTAACAGCACAGCATGCTAGACGCTAAGCCAGCAGTGCTCATCCTAACTTTCGACTCGGAGGTCTCGGATGTCTTCCCAAGAAAGCAGAATTAGAAAGAGCCACATCTTGCGAAGGCTCTTTTGGGCAAATTAGGCGTGGTAAGGGGGGGGGGGGCTATGAGATCTTGCGGTTATCAATTTGGTGGCGGCGCCTCCATTTCTCACTCGGGCTTCTGACCTTGACTCTGGGGGGTGGCGGTGGTTGTTAGGTGGCGTCGGGTCCAGTACGACCCAGAGCAACCCTACGAACAACAAAGCTGAGCCCAGGACTATCCTGTGCCGTGCTCCTTATTTCGGGCACATTTGAGCCTATTGCTGCAATTTCTGTGTCTCGCTGAGGGTCTTCCTCTCTTTTGCGGACACTGGGAAGGATTTGGGATTCTTCTCTCTACGAATTTACACGCCCCTCAAAACAGGGGTTAAGGGTTCCCCGCCTATACGCGGCCCCGCAGCTCCCTAGAGGAGGGCCAGGGAACTGCACGCTTGGCCTCCCTGGTTTGCGGGCTCCTTGAGCTGAGAGCAGGGCCTGAGCTGCGGGTGGCCCCACTTACGGAGGGAGGACTCTTCCTTAGCACTAAAAGTCCTTGCTTAGCCTCCTGTTAAGGTTTGGGTCTCCACCGACTTCACTAGATGGGGCAGGTAGCCCTAGACCAAGGCCCTTCCTTTCCCAAGACTTTGCTGACTAAAGATCTATTTGCGCCGAGGCTGACAGGAGGCGCGAAACTATGTTGGGCACAGAACGTTGCACGTGTCAGCGAGACCCCTTAGTCCACATTCAGGGTCCTTACCTGGGCTTTGGAGCAGCCCCAAGACTCAGAGGAGGCTCCCTGAGGAGCCCTGCCGGAGCCTTGCCCCTCAGCCCGACTCTGAAAGCGCTTTTACGTCAGTTTTGGAGACGTAAAGGACAGGATGCCAGGATGTCTCACACCCGGTCCTCAAGGGGGCCTCCAAGTGGCGAGGTTATGTGGGAGGTGTCTTTGAGGGCCTTCGCAAGAGCGAAAGGGCTGTTGGTCCCAGACTGTTCCAGAATTGATGCCCCCTTCGTACTCACTCAGATACTCATCCTGATGCCTAACAGAGCTGCCAGAGTATCTTCAGAGCCTGGGGTGCCTTGTCAGAAGACCCTCACCTCACAGAGACCCTAGTTGCGGAGGTCAGGGAGTGCCGCAGGGCCACCTTCGTCTGGGTCCTCCCAGGATTGCATATGGGTAGTTCTCCCCCACCCCTACAATTAGCACTCAAGGTCCACATTTCATTCTAGCTATGGCTGGACTCCTTTCTCTATAGAATCAGGGCAGTCTCCTGTGGACCAAAGCCCTCTCTAAGACCATTCAGGAAGAAATAAGGGACATTTTGACAGCCTATTACTTCTTCCTGCTACCTCCCAAGTTTCAGCGCAGGGCCAGCTATCTGTCCTGTACCCACTGCGTGTGGGGCTTTCTCCTCATAAGACTCAAGGTTCTCAGCGCGACCTCTTTTGGATCCTGGCTTTCTGGGACAGTCCCCAGATGAAGTCTCTCAACACCCTCTTACTTTCCAGAAAAAGCTAAGGCAATCCAGGGTATATGTATTTCTTAACTTTTACCAAAAGAAAGACTAACTTATTTCATTAAATGTCCTCTAGAGAGAGCGCTGGTGGCCTAGTGAGTAGTAAGAAGCTTCACTGCAATCCTGAAGACAAGCGGTTCGACTCCACCAGCTGTTCCACGGGAGGAGGATAGGCAATCTTCTCCCATGCGATTGACTGCCTCTGAAAATTTGCTGGAGCGTCAGCTATGGGTCAGTTCCAACTCTACAATTCACCACCACCACCACCACCATCATGTCCTCTAAACTCATCTATGTCAAAAGGGAACCCAAGTCTTGTCCATCATTTTATTTTCTCTCCCACCCCTATATTTTTTGACCACTACTACTTACTGTGTGGTTCTTTTACATTTCCAAGGATCTTCCTATTGCAATGCCATGCTATTCCATTCTGGATCATAAAAGCCGGGAGAGGGGGGGAGATGCAAGGATTTTATATTTGTTTTACAAAACAAAAGCACTCCAAAATCTGATCTGTAGCAATGAACGTGTTCCCCATACCATTCATAAAGTTGGGTTCTGAATCTAAATATACTTTCTAGTCAAAGAAATAGGGAGGGATGGGCAATCTCCTCCCGTGAGATTAACAGCCTCTGAAAACCCATTCAGGGCCCTCTGTGGGTCAGTTCTATCTCGATGGTATTCAATGACAACAAAACATTAGTCAAAGAAATAAAACATGATAGCTAAAAGGGATAAGTAGACTAGTTTCTCATATATAATAAAAATAAGAAGACATACAAGAGTCCTTGCCATTCCTGTCTGGTCTCCACTAAGAACTGTTGAATTCTTTAGCTAGCAGGTGAAGACGCTGCCTGAGATCTCCCTGGTGGTGGGAAGCACTTCTGCACATGGCTCTGGCAGTGCAGCTAGCTCTAGGTGCACTTCTGGCTCTAGCTCTTTCTCCTAGATCAAAGCATCTTCATAGTAAGACTAGAAGACACTGGGGATGTATCCTTAAACTTGATCAGAATCTCTAGGATTTTCACCTTGCAGGTTTCAAGGTAGTTTCTTGGACTTCATGGGAATTCACGGGCTAGGGTTCATTGTTGAATATGTGTTGACACACCTGTTACTTCAGATGTATTCTTTTTTTTTTTTAATTTTCTACTAGTTTATTTACATTTGAATTCCTTGGTTTTCCAGACCAGTTTCTTCCAATTTCCCTTACCCCCCTATCAAATTGTACAACCCCATAATTAGTCCCCACCCCCGCACATCCTCTTCCCTCTGCTTCTACTCCACCCCCCTTGGATCCTTATACTCATTCTACAATAATGGTTTTATACAATAGTTATCCTTGTGGGACTGAGTTAGTTCACTCAGCATAACGCTTTCTAGTCCCTCCCAAGTTAGGTCATAATTTACAAAATCTTTGCTCCTATGTGCTGCATAGTATTCCATTGTGTGAATGTACCAGAACTTCTCAATCCATTTGTTTGTGGTTGGACATTTGGGCTGCTTCCATGTTCTTGCGATGGTGTGAATAATGCTGCTATGAACATTGGTGTATAAATACTAAATCTTTAGTCATGAGCTTCTTGTGTTCCTTAAACACAGAGCTTTTATTTCTAGTATATTCAACTATAATATTTAGCACATAGTACATTTTCTACTCAGTTATGCTGTTGCACTTCCGGAGTATAGGCTCAGGATTGTTATCTGTCTTGGGCATGTCATTGTCATAATTCTGCCTCTCATCATAGGTGAGACTGTTGAAAAGGGGTATGGAGGTGTTTCACTTGCTTCCTTCATGCCAATTCCAAAGATCAGCTTCTTGTGCTCAGAAGCTGTCCTCAAGTAAGGGCCCTGTACTATGGCATTCTTCAGCTTGTCTGTCATTGCAAAATTCTCTTCAATCTGATTGCTAGGAAGTTCACTTCAAACCAATTCCTAGTTTTGAAAGTGTGTGAGATTGAAATGTATTGATCTGTACAGGAACCAAAAATTAAAAAAAAAAAAAAAGGATGTGTTTCCAGCTATGGCCCTCAGGACTACTACAGGCCTCTCTCTTTTGACAGCTGTCTCTGTTCTCTGTCATTGTCTTTTCCAGTTAAATAGGTCTATTCTAGGATGTCATCTTCAGGAACATTACTGCAGGGTCTAAACAGGTTTAGTCAAATTGATGGTGGGAGGCAGTACTGTGGACAGTGGAGACTACATTATTTTTTTTTATGGAAATGAAAATCTTGTTTTTATGTATTCATTTAAAATATGTA